AAAAAAAAAAAAAAAAAAAAAAAAAAAAAGGACTTGGTGGAGAGATCTTTCTCTATTTTGGAAGGCTGACCACTTTTCTTGGCAGAAGCATACTAGAAAGTAGGGATATAAAAATCTAAGAATGTTAAGTAATGATTAATTAGCTAATTGAGTAGTGGATGGAATTTCCATACCGCTGCTTTGGCTCTGCATTTAAAAAAATAGAATAATAGAATACTAGAACTGGAAGGGACCTCGAGAGATCAAGTCCAGTCCCCTGCCCTCACGGAAGGACCAAACACCATCTAGATCATCCCTGATAGATGTCTATCCAAACTGCTTTTAAATATCTCCAGTGATAGATATTCCACAACCTGCCTAGGCAATTTATTCCAGTGTTTAGTCACCCTGACAGTTAGGAAGTTTTCCTATTGTCCAACCTAAACCTCCCTGCTGCAGTTTAAGCCCATTGCTTCTCGTCCTATCATCAGAGGCCAAGGAGAATGATTTTTCTCCCTCCTCCTTGTAACATCCTTTTAGATACTTGAAAACTGCTATCATGTCCCTGCTCAGTCTTCTCTTTTCTAAACTAAACAAACCCAGTTCTTTCAGTCTTCCCTTATAGCTCATGTTTTCTAGGCCTTTAATAATTTTATTGCTCTTTTCTGGACCTTCTCCATTTTTTCCACATCTTTATTGAAATGTGGTGCCCAGAACTGGACACAATATTCCAAATGAGGCCTAAATCAGTGCATAATAGAGTGGAAGAATGACATCTCATGTCTTGCTCACAACACTCCTATTAATGCATCCCAGAATCATGTTTGCTTTTTTGCAACAATGTCACATGGTTGACTCATAGGGTATGTCTACACTACCACCCTAGTTTGAACTAGGGTGGTAATGTAGGCATACCGCACTTGCAAATGAAGCCCGGGATTTGAATTTCCCGGGCTTCATTTGCATAAGCCGGCCGGCGCCATTTTTAAATGCCAGCTTGTTCGAACCCCGTGCCGCGCGGCTACATGCGGCACGGGCTAGATAGTTCGAACTAGCAAGCCA